AAGATATATTTTTTTAGTAGTAAAATTAAAGACAATATAGGGAAAGCCTCTATGTAAATTAGTACCATAACTTAGTAAGTGCTGAATTGAATGTAGAGTTTATTAATAACATCTAGCATCGCATAGGAGCGCTCATCTATATGCTGTAGATGGCCCGAGGTACGTCGGGGTACCAGGGCTTTCCTTTTTAATGTATACCTGGTTCCCTGGCTACTGGTACCTGGAGACGACGTGCGGTTTATGGTCGGTTCGAGTCCGACAATCACCCACTAGTGGGTGGTATCCGAGGTAGTTCCGCACAGAGAAAAAAAAGGGGTATCTAGCATCATACACTTTCCGTGGCATTTTAGCAATAAGCACTTGTCACGACTTCTTAATCGACTTATTTGCTTTACTAGTGTATATTTTCGTGATTTTGATAGTAGCTCTATCACCATTGACATACATATTTATGCTAAAATATTTAAGATCTAGGTACTGATGTACCAGAATCCCTAAAATACTAATATAAATATCGATTTCAGTGTTGTGTAACTCTTACAATGTACAACGTTTAAAATTTAAGATCTCCGCTAATAAAATCGTATCATTACTACCCCAAGGAACTCGATTAAAACAAAAACAATCAAGTACAGTGTTAATTATCACAATTTTAGGTTTACATAAGGATTGCGTGGATATTAATTTTAAAGATATTCTTCCTCCTTTCTGCAGATAATTTATGTAGCACTTACTGGAGAAGTAAAGTGCAGTAAATTTAGGTTTTGAATCGAGCGTTCGATAATGTGCTATTGGTCGTAATTTAACATGGCATACTTTTGCTTTGCCTAATAATAGTTATGCACAATATTAATTTGGCATAACTATTTAGGCACAACTTCTTTAAGCATAATAATTGTTAAGCATACTATTCTAAAGCATAAATTTGTTTATGCATAATGATATTTAAGCATAATATTAATATTTTTAATAAAATACTTTTCATATATAAAAAAAAGACATGTTGGCGGACCCCCGCCGCACCCTAACTTATTGTTACACTATGGTACCCAAGTTATACTGGATATAATACCTACTTTCTTATTTTTCATCATCATCATCATCATCATGTTGGCGGACCCCCGCCGCACCCTAACTTATTGTTACACTATGGTACCCAAGTTATACTGGATATAATACCTACTTTCTTATTTTTCAATGCATATAAATTATTGAACTTGTATATTTTGCATGGATATTATAAATAAATACGTACCTATAGTTAAATAAACTATATTTGCATTATGCCTTTTGATCTTTACTCAATCAAAAACATTAGCCTAACTGATATTTAAGCCTACTGAAAGATACTTAAGCCTACTACAATAAACAATTATGTCATAGTATTATTATGACAAAAAAATATGCCTAAGTCGTTATGCCAAATTAAATTAGGACTAGAAAAAAATTGTCCAAACAAAGGGGTCCCTCTGCTATTTATAAGCGGCAATAGATCAAAGACTATATCGTTGGATTTGCGATCAAATGGCTAAGGGCTTAATGCACAAAAAGTTCTCCAACCGTTCGTCATGTATATCTCGTTGCAAAATAAAATATCGTTTTAAATTCACATTTATCGTTACCTAATACTTCCCAATAATAATTTTAAATCAAACCGGTTTTGATTAAAGAAATAATATTTTTTTATGTGTAACATCTTACCTGTTGCTTTCCTGGGACGGAAACGTGTAACAGAAAGCTGGGAACACATGTAATTGACCAATAAGCGCTTGCGTGCTAGATGTCAGTTGTGATGTAGCGTAACTATTATCCATTGGTTATTTATATATTTCCTGAATTATATTCCAAAAAATATTTGAAAACATACGTTACATATCAAACGTCAAAAAAACTGTATTCATTAGACGGTTGGAAATTGGTTCCAAAATACGTAGAGCCACATACGTCATATTCCATCTATTCACGCTTGCTTTTAAAAATTGTTTTGTTATTGTAAATACATATATCGTTACAGTTCTACATCCCAAATCCGGTAAAACCATGGCCAGTACAAATACTCAATGTTTACAATAAGATCAACACAAGAGTTACAAACACACAGCCACATTTCGCTCGCGCCTGTCAAGTTCAAACTTGATTTATGCTCACAACTCTTTTGGTCTTTGTGCGTCAGATTTGCACGCGCACGTGTCTCACATATATCACTTTTCGAATTTTTAACGACACTTCTGTTACGTGTCACATTTCAAAAACAAATGCCCAAAGACAATGTAGAATTGTTTTTCATTTTAGGGCCAACTTTAGACGCTTCCCATTAACAATAGAAAAAAATCAGACAGATTCAAAGAAAAACTTTCTTCTGTTACTTGGCCAACATTATCTTTACAAAGAAATAAAATTTAAGTATATGTTTGTAGTGTCAAAACAATAGGTTTTTTTCATGCTCACACGGTTATTTCCACGATACCTTTGCCTAAAAACTTGCTGTATATATCAGGAGTAACTTAGGCTATTTTTCATCGTAGAAAAAACCCCAATGAAATTTTGGCCGGTCCGGGAATCGAAGCCGAGGCTTCATGGACTGCAGTCGCGTACCCTAGTCCACTGCCAAGGCAGCGCAAGTGCCAGCTAGTAAAACATAAAACTAATGTTAAGCAATTCTTTCCTTGCTTTTCGCTGAGTGCGTGAAGTTTCAACTGATTCTGAGAGGGTGACTCTTGTGGTATTCATGAACGCATATTTTGTTTGTCTAAGCTATTATATGCTATGCTAAATCACTGCCTCGGTGGTGCAGTGGTAGCGTATGCGACTGCTGTGCTGAGGTCTTGGGTTCGATTCATAGATCGGACCAAATGTTTGTGTGATCTGCAAATATTTATTTCGGAGGTTGGATGTTTGCTATGTATAATATGTATGTATTTACAAAAAAGAACTATTTAACTATAAGTCAATCTAGCTTTCATAGAACAAACTAGTTTCAAACTAAGCAGGGCGCTTAGTTTGAAACTAGATGGCGTTGTGTGTCAGATGACCGAAAAAATTGATTAATATAAGCGCATATTATAGTGAGCTTGGGGGCTATTGTTCTTTCAATAAACCATTAACTTGTTATACCTACTCAAAGCAATCGTGTTGGTAACTGCAATAGCCGACATAACAACACAAAGCAGGAATTTATAACGACCACAAATCAATCTGTACGTAGCATTTATGTTGTTAAGCTAAGTTGAAATAAACAAATTCCTTCGTATTTATTTCCATGCGAAACGAACAGAAAGGCACATTTGCAATAACGGATCCGTACTAAACAAAATACTAAAATGGTAGCAAATAAAATGTTTGTAGTTATATCGTCGTATAATAAACAAGCCACGGAAACAAGTAGATAAGACTATTGATTTCGTTATTTAATGTTCTGAGTTTAATCTATACTAATATAATATCTAATCCTTATCTATACAAAAAAAAAACTGTTATTAATATGAAAATAATTGGTATTTTTCATGCTCACACGGTTATTTGTACGATACCTATGCCTAAAAACCAGTTTAAATATTTTTTATCCATCTGTTTGTTCGGGTAATCTTCAAAACGGCTGAACCGATTTTGATAACATTTTACTACCAGGTCTATATAAGGAGAAACTTGGCCTATTTTTCCTCTCAAAAAAACCCTATAATATTTTGCCCAGTCCACGAATCGAACTCGAGTCCTCGTGGACTGCAGTTACATACCTTACTACACCACTAAGACAGCGCTTTTCAAATTTTACGCGAACGAAGTCGCGGGTACCAGCTAGCAAGCATTACAAAGCTGAGGAATTTGCATGTTTGGTTAAACGCGCGAATCTGAGGAATTCCTAGTTTGAATTGAAAACTTCTATTAGTGGTGGATAGCCCATTTCTCGAAGAGTACTATAGGCTATATAACATCACGCAACCATACCAATAACCAATAGGACCACCAATATCATGGAACCAATAGGAGCGGAACATCAATAAAAATGTTGAAAGAACGGGGAAAAATGTTCCATTTGCGAGACGTGGAGGATGTTGCGCGGATCAACTAGTTAATAATAAATGTAGACAAAATAGTAACGTGTGTCTCAATAACATCTGCTGGAATTGATGCAACTGTTAACCAATGCCTAGCCACAGAAATCATTAATACATCCTGTTCTTTGTTAGCCGGAATTGCAATTTCATTTGCAAAATTCAAATCAATATAAAGTTTGATACGTTAGCAAGTACGAAATTATATTGTATAACATAATTCGTCTTCTCTTTATTGCCCGTTTTCCAAGTAAGGAGGTTCTCAATTCGACTGTTTTTTTTTGTTTCTATGTTATGCGATATCTTCGGAATAAATTTGAAACTAGTTTAAACATTTTTTTAAAATTTAATTCATTATTCTCAAGGTTATAATTAAATACCACCTCAATGGATACAAAATCAGGACATAAAAACCACACTAGGAAATCATAAAACGACTACACGGATGGCGTAGTGATTAAAGCGGTCGCCTCGCCGCTTACTACTGCGCAGTGTTGTGGGTTCGATCCCCACATGGGAAAACACTTTGTGCGATTCACAAATTGTTGTCCTGAATCTGGGAGTTCTTTGTGGCCGTTTCATGAATGTTTGTAAAGTTCCCTACGACACAGGATCTGCGTACAGCGATAGATAAATAGCGAAATAATCCCATTGACACACAACGAAGTTTAGTAACATGCAAGATATTAGATATTATAAAAATCTGGAAAAAAAATCAAGTTATTGAATTTCTAAACCCAATTTTAAAAATCTATCAAGAAAAATTGATACTTCTAATCCTTTTTATTGTTACGATGTTTATTCACCCTTATAAAACTCAAGAAGCTACCTTAATGAAATTATTCGAAAAATTAAACTGTAAAACAAAGCACGATACTTGACATCGGACAAATATTCTTTTCGCTCGTCTGAATTTTTCCAAGTTTAATCTTGATAATTTCTTTTCAGGTAACCCCAATGACAAAATTCTATACGGCCGTCCAAACAAACGTCGAAGTGCTTCCTTTCCAGCCCCCAGGTCTTTGGAACGACGCAACTCGCTGAGGATCTTCGGCTCTTCCAGCAAGTACCTGCAACGGTGCGCCTCGACAAGGAGCCTCCATCACAAGAATGCTAATACCACCGATAGTTCATCGTCCACCGATTACCCGCCGAGCGTCGAATCTGCGTCGCCGAGTGAGTTCGCTTTTACATACACCTTTGTTATTATTACTTCAAATCTGACAGATTTAGACTATACCTTTTATTTACGACCTATACATATAACAGAAGTACAATTAGCGTATTAGAAACAGACTAAAAATGTTAGTCTCCAGAACACTTAATTAAGTAATCTCTTAGTTCTTATGTAAGAAACTAGCTGACATTGTGGTTGCATTGATGAGAAGTGAGTATCAAAACTGACACGAAAAATAGATAAAAACAATCTTTGAAGCGAATTGTATATCATGTCAAAGTTTGAGTACAATCAATACAGAACTTTTTGTTTTTGATAAGCGTACAAAAACCAACCTAACATTTTCATATATTTTTATATATAGATTTTGAGTACTCTTTACAACCGTAACAATTTTTGCTTAATAATAAAGAGCCATCTAATAAAGACTTACGATTCGAGAGGAGAGATAAGATTTCGTTCTCGACTACCTGGTCCTATCTGAATAGCTTGAGCTGGTGGACAGACATTTTGCGGAAAGTACATATCTATGGCCCTCATCCGAGAAATAGGGATTGTATGAATCTTTAGAAGAAGTCCATTTACAGCAACTTACGTCTAATGGCCAACTTACACTCACTCCGGTCGAGTTGGGACATATAATGTGCCGAAGCATGGTCCACGATTAAACTTATTTTATAGTAATCATCAAGAAACGAGGTTTTGGCCTACTATACCACGCTGGCCAGACAGAGTGGTATAACTCATAATTAAATAGGTTTTATAACTATAAAATAAGTTTAATAACTTCACATGCATTCGTCGAGAGAGGAATTTTGACTTATGAACAAGAAATTAAATTAGCAACGACTATCCTTTTCATCTCTGCTCTTTAAGAAGATAGTAGATAGGCACATTACACATGTAGGTATGTAAGCACACATTAATGCGAACTCAGAATTATATTAAATGTACTATACAACTGAAAAGGTAATCCAAAGATCAACAGTAAACTAAAACTATTTTATATTCTACCTTAGGGGTAATCTAGTTAATTAAAACCATCTACTTATTAATAAAATTAATTTCTTAGGTACACCGAGAGTACACTGAAATCACTAAATACCTGTGGTGGCGCGGCGTACAAATCGGATGGTTAATTTCCCTTCGAAATAGTGAGGGGACGCTAACTAGTCGTCATGCTAATGGGACGGGTACCTACTACTCGTGGTGACTGTTTGCCACCGCCAGGGCCTTACACACGTGATGGCTTTTTTATTCGTAGTTACATAAGATACTATTTCTATTCTCTATTTAAACTTGAGAGATAATCTACTATGCTATGATTATAAAGACTGCACGGATGGCGTAGATGTTTAAGCTCTAGCTAAGACTACATATACACAGAATAATAATCGCTTATATTATAAAGAGGTAAAGTTTGTGAGTTTGTATGTTCTGAGATTTCAGAAGATACTGGTTCGAATTGAAAAGTCTTTTAGTGTTGGATAGCCCTTTTATCGAGGTAGGAAATAGGCTAGGACGTCATGCTACGGCCGATAGGAGCCGAGCAGCAATGAAAAATGATGCGAAAACAGGAAAAAAATATTCCCTTTGAGAAAAGCAAACGAATTTCTCTAGATGTCTGACAGTAAATACAAATGACGAAATTACTACATTTAAAGTATAACTTTGTATTTTCAATCAATAAACTATAAGTTCGATGTTAAATATTATTACTATTTTTCCTCACGCATTACCGACCCTACATTTCGGCATTTTATTTCCTATTTCCATTCCTACCGACCCGGCATTTGTAGACGCCTGATGGAGAATCGTACATTCCAACGTACACTTTGGGCTAACACTGTGTATACTGACAAGCTACCTCTTATCGTCTGACAGATCATTGTTTTTAACTGTTGGGGTATCAAAAAATCTGAATATTTATGTATGCATGTTTCAGAAAAAGTGTCCCTGCTGTCCCGCTTATTCAGACGAAGCGGCCGCAGCAAACAGACGCGCACGATGAGCACTTTTTCTGCACAGTTCCCGCCCACTGAGTGGTTCAACTCCAAAGCGGTACACCTTCACTGTGTGGCAACGCAGACAAACTCAAAAGTAAGCAGTGTAAATAGTATTTTAAATAATTTGTTTACCTGTGAAAAAGATTGGTTTCTCAAATCAAACGGATACCTAACTGCTTAAAACTACAATAAATTTTCAACGTGATCGTGATACATGTTTTAAATTATGGCGTCAGCAATAATACTTAGTATCTCTATATTTTTTATCGTTTTGATCTATATCCGTGTGGTGACCGATTAAGAATACAGTGTCACCACATCTAGTCGTGCAGTGGGTGTCGTAAGAGCCGACTAAGGGAGCAAACTACGCAGGACAACAGCACTGCAAAGAGAAGAAAACTTGACAGAAACCCTAAACCACCCCGTCTAGTCAGCGTGATTTACTACGCCACGTAGGCCAAAACCTCCTTTGTAAGGAGAGGCCTATGTCCAGCAGTGGACTATTATAGACTGTTGTTGATACTGATGATGTACATCTACACTAGGAAATATGTTCTTGTCCCATCGTGGGATCGAGCTAGACAGCGACGTTATAATTAAAATACTCAAATACAGGTAGTTTTATCTATACTTACATAGTAATGTACTAAAAGATAAAACAGTAGAAAAACAGAAAGATAAAAGAATCAATCCGATAAAATAATAAAGGACTTTATATAAAATGAATAGCATCTAAATATTTCTTATTTTCCACATTTCAGGAGTCCCTACAAAGTCAAACATCGTTCGTCTCATCTTACTACGACGGTTCGGAGATCAGTAATCGGTCATCGACGCTGCCACGTAGGCACAAGCGACACTTGTCCACCGAGTCAGGGCTGGCAGGCTCCGTTAACTACGATCATTCGCCCGTTAGGCACTCCAGTCCCAGTTCCGGCAGCTTACCACGATCAACACTAAGCCGGAGTTCTACCCATAAAACCATATTAGATCATTTCGGATCACCACAAAGAAACAGCGACCCTAAACTGAGAGATAGTCCAAGCGGCAGTCTAAGAAGGGTTGACTACTCAAACTCAGATCACATCATGTCCACGAGTGGCCCATCTAGCCTGGAAAGTACGACTCCACTGCGTACACCTCGTAAGGATGCCAAAAACGGTCACTTAGACCAAAACTCCCCAATGAAAAGGAGCTACAACACCAGTGGGAGTAGCGGTCACTCAAGTCTTGAGTCTCATATATCAGACCGCACGTTAAAGCCTTCGCCTAGTCATAGCAACTCGCACGGAGCACCCGGCCTTAGCAGAGCACAATCACTTGTTAAAGTCCAAAGCCTACAAAGCTCACCAAAAAGCTTACACAAGTACAGAACGAAACCACCTCTTGTCGGTGGTGAAACGGTAAAAAACGGTAACACGTCACCCAAAACTTCGCCAAAAAACTGTCCAAGCACACCCAAAAAACCCGCAACCCCTCTGCATAAAACCTTAGGGTCAAAGGTAGAAAACCCATCAACGACGATGTTGGCCAGTTCCAATTCTAACAATTCAATCACACTAAAAGTTACCACAAATACTATGTCTCAAAACGGTGGTGGTACTAACACCAAAGTATATGTACAAAATTCGCCAGTAAGATCCGTTATCACTTTTGAAAACGGTAAGGTCACTGAGACCACCAACGGGAGCAACATTTATATCATCAATGATGATCGACAAGTCGTATCTGTATCTCAAAATGGGGTTCAAAACAAAACTGCTAAAAATCCCACTGAAACATCATTCGATGTTTGTGTTGAAAAGAATAAACAGATGTATCAAGAAGCAGAATCGATGAAAGTACAAGAAAATAAGTTCAACAAAAATTCAATTAACGATACGGGTATGAATAATAATCGTAAGCTTTCTTTACAAATAGGTGGTGCAACTAACAATAACAGTTTTGTATATAAAAATCAATTGAACAATACAAACGAAGTTGCATCAAATCCCGCCTCTCCGGCAATACATAACAATATAAATAATTTGGAAACTACCGCAAACAGTAACCCTTCAACGCCAACTAAAAGTTACGATAACATTATAGGATCGTTGGGAAGCTTGAGGTATCAGAAGAACTCCTTATCGTCGGCCAACAGCGGTATACAAACCAATATAAATTCGAACAGCGAGCTGAAGAGCGTCGATCTATTGAAGAAGGCAGCCGCGCTACAAATGCTGAATGGGCTGCCGAGTGTAAACAACAGAGTCAGTTCGGACTCCATAGCGAATTTACTAACAAAAGCTATCGACCAGAAACCAACAGTTCTGGGATCCGAGCCGAACTTAGCTCTAAAGAACCAGGAACCCATAAAAGACAAAAATACGTCATCTGAAAAGATACATTGTTTGGAGAACAAACAAAAGAGGTACAGCCTCAGTCAAGAAAGCAAGAAGGAGAATCAGGATTTCTACAATTTTCCGAGCTTAAGCGATTTGAGCTTTAATTTTACGAGTTTAGCTGCGCAGAAGATTTTAAAAGGTGTCAGTATAAATAGTGTAGACACCTTGGTGGAGCTAAATATGGCCGCCAACAATTCAGAGAAGCAGAACAACCGCGATGTCGCTGCCGTGTGCACGGACTTTGGCCTTGTATAGCATTTAAGGTATAATATTTTTTGTTGTAAAATGTACAATAGTAGACATAACACTGTATGATGTAAGGTATTTGTATGAATTATTCTTAACTACTCTATAACACGCTTTAGATATGCAATACCTACCAATATTTAGTTCGAAACTTGTTTAAGAATTTTGTATTCCCTACTTTTTATCTCTTAAACGCATTGTATCCCCTATTATTAAAATATTTGTTTGTCTTTACTAACTTATTATCATCGAAACTATCGAAGTAGAAATTATTTAACAGTAAACATGAATGTAATCGTTAAAATTTAGTCTGAAATTCTTAGTTTGTAGCTCACTTTAAAAGTATTGAGACAATAAATCCGTGAATATCTGTGAGAACAAAAAGTGGCCTAAAACATTGTTACATGGAAATTTAGTGCCTAATTCGATCTTAACAGAATTGTAATTCAATTGTAGTCATAAATTAGTCTTTCACTGTCCTTTAGTATACGGCTGTCACACTACTAGTAGATAGATACTGTATCAAATTGACCCCTCCAAAGCACTTCTGTCCGTGCCATCACAATACTTCCAGTGAAAAGGTCGAGTACAAACAAGAATACCTAACTAACAGATTCCATCCAGCAATGGGAATTTCAAAGGAATGATTTATAAAAATGTATGTCATGTATTAAGTGCCATAAAACCATAGTATTACATAACGTGGGCGAAATATGGAATGGGAAGTAGGATTTTGAAATCATTGCATGTTTAAGAAATTGCTTAACTTGTGTATGAAGCAATGGGTATTTATTCATTAGGGAACATAATCAGAAGTCATATCGCAATTAGTTTAAAACAGTAATAACGCCATTTGTAAAAAATTAACAATATAAGATGATGCTTTAAATAATTTCGTTTTATTACCCGTAAGTTATATATAAATATTTCTATGTACTCTAGTAGAAATATCGTTACCTATTCAATGACACTGTACCTACTTATATATAAAATATACCTACCTATGAAAAAAAAATTGTATGAACTACAAAAATAACTGCATAATTGCTTCTCTAAAATAGAATTACATGGTTACTTACGCAGTTAGTACATAGACTAATTACAGTAGTTCTTAAACTACAGTAGAGTTATAATATACGCTTTTAAACACTGAAAAAAAAATGTGGGGTGTTTGCCCTTTTACCAAGTCTACGTTTATTTTATACATTATTTTAGTTCGCCTCTGTTACCACCAGGGGCGCTGTCAGTTGAACAGATGAGTTTGTTGATCACGCCGTATTCTGTAAAAACTCAGACTAAGGTACATAAAGAACAGGATTCAGTTAGATTTTGCAATTTGAATCTATTCTCTCACATAAGGCAACGAAATAAAAGAAAACCCTGTATGATACTTTGCCATGGTACCCCCTAAATAGGTAAATAGGATGTAATTACAAACAACTTCTGTGGCAACTAGTCTATTAACGGTTCCACGAAAAAAAAATATGTAGGGAGGGAGTAGGGCCTTTCATCAACGCTATTCCTCGTGTGCTGAAAATTAGGAAGGCCATAACGGTCGAGGGCAAACAAGCTTAAACTAATGCCATGTGTATCGCAAAGAGGTAATGTTAATTATAACCTTTATTACTTACTTAAATACTTTAGAAATTCATTGTCATAGGAATTAAAATTTAAACTATATAGCCAAAGAGTTCCTTGTTCCTTTCATTCGGATTGGAAAAAATCCTTTTGTTTATATGATATGATGATTGATGATAGAGTATACGGAAGGCAATAAGTCGCTACGATCCTAAAGAGCGGAGCGGAAATAATAAATGGTTTCATAACAACGTGTTAACTTCAAATTATGTAATAGGTAACTTAATAAAATATAAGACCAAAATGCCTTGCTGTCTACTACATGCAGAAAATAAGTCTAAAACGTTCCAGCATTTTTCCATCACAGTATAAGTATCTCTTCCTATGTGGTTCAGCTTCTCCTCAGCAAAACCAATAGATGAAACTTTTTATGAAAACGACTTTTTATCCCATGATGACTGATGGCTTTTTGATGTACTTATTACTTCACCAAACAAACTCAACAGCAAACTGAACTGATTGTGTGTGAATATAATCGATTATTCGTTAAAATGTTCGACTCACTCTGAACTGATGGTAATTTCAAATTCTTCTAATAACCACAGCTTGGGACAATTACGACAGGGTAGTCCCTTCCCTACCTTGATATACCTTTCTTCTTTATCCCATCTCAACACGGTTAGAGAACCATCAGGTAAGTAGCGGGCTATAACAGAAACAAGCTATAACGCATTGACATGTTGAACACGACGCTGATCCCATTTAGAATAGTAAGACACGGGCATAGATGATGCATTAAAAAGACAAAAAAAAAACAATCAAGGCGAATTACGGCTAGCACACCTAGTAATATGATATTTCAGTAAGTGTTTACAGTAGGTATTTCAGCTGAACCGATTTAAATGAAATTTAGTATAAAGATAGTTTGATTCTTGAGAAAAGACGTAGGCTAATTTTATCGTGATAGCTGACATACACGCGGGCGGAGCTGCGGGCAACAGCTAGTTTAAAATAAGTTAAACCCCCTCATGCTTGGTGTAGTTCAGTCTGATTCTTAGGTAAAATATAAAGTTAAAATGGTAATGATTTAACAATATCAGAAAAAAAACTTACATTGCTGAAACAACCCATTCTATCCTAAGCATCAACAACTTTAACAATAATAATAACTTGAGACATCACCCACATGGCTGTCTAATTCAAACTTCGGCCCCTACGTTAAAGGATCAGACTGCTGGTAAAAATACTTATTTATTCCTAAAACCTTAGGTTATTTACACCCAGACAGAACAAATTGACGACCGGATGGCGTAGTGGTTTGTGTAACGGACTGCTATTCCAAAGGTCGCGGGTTCGATTCCCGCTCTAGTCAAACATTTGTGTGCATGAACATTTAGTGTTTTGGTCTGGATGTTTCTATGTATAATATGTATGTATTTACAAAAAAGAAGTACATATGTATTTATATCAGTTGTCTAGTAGCCATAGTACAAGCTCTGCTTAGTTTGAGACTAGATGGCGTTGTATGAATGTGGTACAATATTAGTATATAGTAGAATATTAGTACACCACATTTTTCTTGGGTGAATTTTTCTGTATCTGTTAGTTATAAATCATTTTACATAGTTGTGTCCCTTAGCAAGGATTACGTTTGAAGCAGCAATATGAGATGGGCTCAAATTTTTAGAGAATTTTATATTCGTAGCACTAATATCTCGACATCAACTTCCACCCCCTCCTCACCCCTAGTTTTTGGGGGCACTAAAAAGGTTGATTACACATTTGTTGTTATGTATTAGTTGTGGGTGCCCATTGGCAGCAGTATTTCCTTACTATTTGTTAAACCCATCTACTTGTTTACTTTATATTTACTCTTTGTCTTTTCTAGAGTAGAGCAACTGGACCATTCAGAAAGTTAGAACTACCTAGCTCTTCTCACCTTAGAAAGGAGTTTTTGGCCTACTATACTACGCTGACCAGCAGAGTTGGTATAGGGCTTGTTTTCTAGTTTTCCTTCTCTTCGAGTGCTGTTGTCCTGCATAGTTTACTCCCTTAGGAGGCTCTTACAGCACACACGATAAATAGGGGTGGTGACACTCTGTATTATCCATGACCACAAGGAAATACATAATAACACAGACAAGACATAAGACATATAATAAAAAAGAAATATTATAAAATATAAAACTTTATTCTATCTAAATGGTAAAATGTAAATTCATATCAACACTACATCTACATTCCTTTCTATACACAAGCTATGGTACTGTGTTCCATGACATCTGCCACTTGTGACGGCTCAGTTTCAGTCTGACTTTTTATTGAGTTTAACCAATCATCTGTTGGATCTATTTTCTTCACATCTGGATCAGAAGTGTCACTTTTCTCATCCTCTGTACTATCTCGACTCTCTGCACATTCGACTATATTACTACTTAAGCTACTCGGACAATTTTCACATACCTTTTTAGGTGACACATTCATTTCTACATCTCTAAATTGTTTCGAAACCTCTTCTGGCTTAATTTTTACGTAACAAACGCAGTTTTCATTAGTAGTTACCTGTATTAAGGCAGCCTCTTCTATAGCTTCTAACTCCTCCCTTTTGACCTCTTCAGTTAATTCTTCTACGGTTTTGTAAGAGTACATGTGATCATTTTCTGGACTCACGTAATCCTCTAATGTAAAAGTTTTGCTATCAAATTTAATTTTCTCAAAGTCAATAGCTCCATATTTATGTACGTTATCTAATAATGTGGACTCGTTTTCGTAAAATATTCGAATATTTTGAACACAATTACTCTTTAAGTCTTTGTCGTCTTGGCATTGTTTACGTATGGCATCAAGTTGACGTAAAGTTTTTAATTCTCTCGCTTTTAAACTAGTATACACTCTCGCAAACGACTGTTTCACATCACTTTTAAGCTGAAACAATAAAATTACTATTAAAATTACTGGCAACTAAGAAAACACAGTATGCTTTTTTAAATAATTACATTTTCTATGTGTTTGTCAAATTCATCTGATTCACTCGCCATGTTTACATTTATAGAAGACTCATGAAGACTGACATTTTGGTTTTCGAAAGTTTGACATTTATAGACGAAAGTTACCGAAGTACTGCTCCGTAAAACTACTATTCGACCTTATAAATTTGACAATTTAGAGTAATCTTTACAGATTACTCTTCTTAAATTACTAGTTATTTAATTACTTTGCTCCTTCCTTAACATAAATACTTGTTATAAAACATATTACTTAGAGCATATAATTATGTTCATTTGAAAGTTATCTCTAAATGTACTCATTTAGTCGGAGGGCCAATTCTCGTAATTAAAGTTCGGTCACAAGAAGAGAGTTCCAATGGATAATTTCATTACCATTGTACCACCAAACAAACCCCCCGAAGGCCTGATATAAAAGTCGGCCGATATAAAGGAAGAGGAAACAGCGAAAATTTTAAAAGTTTGTAATACCTATCATGCGTCGTTTGGCAGTCCTGAGGTAGTTGGCACTAGTGTTGTTCTAACCATTATCGATGTATCGATGATCTATACTTTGTTGTTCGACTGTTGCAGAATAATTTGGATTTAAAAAGCATCTTCACATTTAATATTTTTAAATATTACATGAACTGTCCGAACATATTTGTGTAGGTATACAGGAATAAAATATAAGTTTTGAAATTTAAGTGCCTTGTGGAGTTGACCGTCTGGATATGTTTTGCAATTTTCTTTTAAATGCATACTATATAAACTAAATACATAAATTAGAATAGAATTGTGTGAAACGTCCGATAATTGATTAGAAATTTTAATTCGGAGAGATGAAGAACATGATTCAAAAAAAAAATATTTTAAGAATTTCATTTTAGTAAAAAAATAAATACTCTTTTTGTAAAATATAACTTAATTGCCTCATTTAGTCTGTATTATTCTTTTATATATTAAGTTAAATATCACAAATTTTATGTTGATAGTATTCCTTGATTTTGCCGCTACCACATTCCTATTTATATTCGTATTTATTCAAATCTAGCTAGATCCAGATCTGTTAAATCAAAGTCATAGTCGTGATATTTCATAGATAGATAAATCGCATTCAATTATATCAAATGTATATAAATCCAATCTAAACATTATTTTTTCTAAACTATGGATGTCTTTCTAAACGAATTTACTGAACAGAATCGTTTTATTCAACACTGTTGTTATAATAATGAAATACTGCCTTTTAAATAAACGAATTAAGATTATTATAACTTTTCTTGGACATTTAAGAAGGTAGAGTGGATTTTTCCGAGGTTGAAGTTAAGCGACACAATTCTACTATCCAAGTTTCTCTTAAGTTAAAGAGCTGGCAACATTTCATTAAAAAAATTACATTATTGATTTCTAGTTTGACAATTCGCTGGAAAACATTCGTGATTTGTCTAATAAATGGAATAAAATAACGCTACAGTTTCGTGTTTTTGTGTAAAATCTACTGTTACCAGTGTAAAAGTGTTGAAAAAACAAGACATGAGTGAACTGCGACATCGGCGTGGGGAAGGCGATGGTAATGAGAAACTGGAAAACGCAGGCGAATCTGATCACGTACGGAAATATATTATTGTTATTTTCACTTAAAATTGTTTTTCTAATTGATATTTTTAAATTTCTAATATTGTATGTGACCGGTAGGTTGATTCGGAAGAAGAAAAGGTATTAGAAGAAAAGTATGTAGATGAAATGGCTAAGTCTTTACCTCAAGGGACGGATAAAACACCGGAAATCCTTGACTCCGCGCTTTCTGGTCTATCATCAAGGTAATACATGTTTTTGTTATAGGCGTAGTATTAACAAAGCGACAACTCATTTTAGAGGTATACAATTACGTTTTTTTTTGAAATTTAATTGATTGAATGAACTAGAGCCTACAGAGAAAGATATACACTACATAGTTCATATTTGTTTTACATTAGTTTTTCAACATCATCATCAACAGCCTTTCATAGTCCACTGCTGGACATAGGCCTCTCCTTAGAAAGTAATAAATTAATTAATTGCTAGTAATAACTGATACAACCTTCAAGCGAAAACAGAATACTGCTTCCTAAAAGCCCGGCAACGCGTTTGTGACCCCCTCTATCACAAAAAAACCATGGACATAAATGTACTTTTCTTAATACTTAAATGTAAGTTACTTGTCCTGCTCTACATTTTCCATGTCATTTCTGATTGTTATAGAATTACATTATTATTTAGCACCCAAATTAAAAAAAAAACTACACTGCCTGCTTTTGTAATAGTTACCCTATTTCATTTTGTAATTATAGGCAGGAGTGGTTGTATTAATTCCACTACATATTCACAATTAATTCATCATCATCTCAGCCGAAACATCTACTGCTGGTTAAAGGCCTAGGTTTACCAGAACAACTTAACTTACAAGTTTACCAGAACAACGTAACAAGTTATAATTATGTAATTAATTATGAACACATTTTTTGTTCATAATTAATTACATAATTATAACTTAACAGTGTAAGTAAGTAAAACTAAAGACTCTGGTATTGTGATAGATCAAAGAATAAAATAGATATTTCTATAGATTTATTTTATATTTTTACACAATTTGTACTTTACAACATATACTGTTTAAAAATGTTAGCTTACTCGTCACCAGCCTATAACAGTCTACTGCTGGACATAGGCCAATCCTTAGAAAAGAGGTTTTGGCCTACTATACCATGCTGGCCAGACAGGTTGATATAGGGTTTGTTTCAAGTTTTCCTTCTCTTCGCAGTGCTGTTGTCCTACATAGTTTGCTCCCTTAGTTGGCTCTTTCTACACCTACGGGATGAATAGGGACAGTGAAATTCCGTATTCTTAATTGGTCACCATGTGGACAAGACCTCCTGCATACATAACTGTCCAATTTTTATATGTTAAACACTCTATCTGTACTCTCTGTTAAAGTGAAATCTCCATTATATAGTTGTAACTTATTTAAAAAAAATGGAATAGATCTTACTTAAATTATTTTAATCTGTCTTTCTTTATTACTATAAAAGTAGTCTCTTTTGATAATATCTGTCTAGACTCTTAGACTCTTCAGACATACAGCCATCAGATTTCAAATTAGACGGAACTTGTTTTATGGTAATTAAACTGCTGATAAACATACTGATATATTAGATAAAATACAGCCAGACACAGAACAAATTATCGAGTTTGTCCCACAATTGTTTGTCGTGGTTTGAAATCAAACCTCCAACCACTGATTTAAGAGTCAGAAGCCCTTACCACTAGACCAACACAACCATGAAAGTATATATAAAGTCGTAATTATACCTTACATTTTATGATTACATACATGTCAACAAAAATATAGCCATTCTTTTAAACATATAAAAAACCAAAACTTATTAAATAACATAAATTACCAGTATGTTAAGCTCAATTTAAATAATTTCATGGCTCTTTGTGTAACACTACCAACTGGTTTTAATGTGATAAATAAACTAATAAGTAACCACGATATGGCTGAAATGTGATAAATAAACTAATTAGTAACCACGATATGGCTGAACTTAGATTTTTTACGCGGAGCGACTGCCATCGGACCTACACATCCCAAGTACTAGGCGATATCGAAGTTCTGTAGAAAGACTGTTAGCGGCCTTTTTGGGGTTCCAACTACCCGTAACGATTGCTACAGATGTTCTTATAGCAACCGGGACCGACCGATGGTCTCCAAGGCATAGAGGGGTTTCAATCTGTTTAGAATGGTCACCCATCCATATACTGACCTAGGGTTGCTTAACTTTTCAATGTGTTTACCTACTCGAGTACCACTTAGCCACAAGCCACTCCAGTTATAAGGTAGTATTTTATTGAATTACTGTATTAACGTATTAATCTTATTAAATAATTAGGCTTACAATTAGGTGCTTCACGAATTAATCCACTGCGATTTAGGAAACCATTTCGGGCATAATTAATTTTTTTGAATTAATCACTTTGACTTTAGGCTGCAAGTGATCTCTGTGTTAAATAATTTGTGAGTTTTTATGGGGCTTCAGATCGTCTTTACAGTATTTGTCTAAGAGATAGTTTATAGCTCTCACGCTGCATGCCAGTGCGTGTGAGTGAGTGGAGTAGCTATCAATGGAGTAGCTAGTCCCACATAGAAGTGTCACCATATTTATTTTAAACTTTCGCGTTCCATGCCGCAAAGATGCCGTCACATCTGAAGAGCTATGTTCCCACGACCTCACAGAATATCAGTGTTACTTGTATCAGTCTTTCGTTGCTTTTTACCGACAAAGGGAGTTTACCTGAGCCCTTAACTCCCCCTAATACTGGCGGGAGATAAAGCACTTTTCACTTAAGTTGCAGGTGTCCATGGGCGGCGGGAGTCATTTACCATTATACCAGGTTACCCGTCTGCTCTTTTGCCCCATATACCATAAAAAAAGCCTTTGAATTGCCTGACATTTCGACCAAGGCTACTTATTGTCATCATTGGCTGAGCCACGCAACGTCACTTGTTACGAACAATAAGAGCGTTCACCGTGCGGGTGCCGGGTCCATCGCGTGATAGATGGGATCAACACATGCGATTTGCGACCCAGGAGTAGTACCTAGGTTACCAAAAGATAATTCTACTTACTCCCAATAGGGAAAAATTAATGTTGAATCGAATCACAAATTTTCGTAACGTCATAGCAAACCTATTAATTGTGATGGTTTTAAATATAGAACCGCATTCTCTTTTAGTAAAAAGCTAATAGGTATCGAATAAACTGTAAAAGGCTTAAATCGTAACTACTACCACGAGACTACGAAAGCAATATTCCTCTCGCAGAAAGCTAAATGCAATTAATTACCTACCTACTCTACCTGTTTTTTCCGGTTTTTAAACATAAATTAACTAAGAGTTATTAAAAAATATGACTCCTTGTGATTTTATGACCATTAATCGCGTCAACAATTTAAATATACTTAAAAAGATACATTAAATTCGTATTAATTGTAATTAGACGCCGAAAGATTGCGGCCAAATGTGAAATTGCAGTCCAATTTTTTAATTGTCTTAAAATAAATATTAAGGTCGCCTGTCCGTGTAATGACGTATTAAGAATAGGGAGTGTCACTATACTCACTGTATTCATCCCGAAGGTGTTGTAAGAGCCGACTAAGTAAGGGAGCAAGCTACGCAGGACAACAGCACTCCATAGAGAAGGAAAACTTGACACAAACGCTGCACCAACTCAGGGTTATGGACAGGGTGGCATAGTAGGACAAAATCTCCTTTATAAGAAGAGATCAAGTCCATCACTGGACTATTGAAGGATGTTGGTGATGATGACGATAAGGCCGGTCGAATTTGGACTATTTTTAATGTGTTTTTATTCATTACATAGTTTAATTTACATAGATTAATTTGTTTTAATATTTTTTACGTTTTTTTCGCATCCGCGAGGTGACGGATTAAGTACAGAGTGTCACCACCTACTATTCATCCCGTGGGTGTCGTTAGAGCCGACTAAGTAAAAAAAACTACGCAGAACAAAGCATTGCAGAGAGAAGGATAACTTGACACTAACCCTATACCAACCCTAGCCAGCGTGATATAATAGGCCAAAACCTCCTTTTTAAGGAGAGGCTTATGTCCAGCAGTGGACTGTTAAAGGCTGTTGATGTGAACGTTTTTTTTAAATTCCTCATTACAAGTTGCCCCCTGTTTCTTCATTACAAAAAATAATTAAGAATTTTTTGTTTATTTTTCCTTTTTTTTATTAGATGGAGGAACTGGGTGATTCGAGGAATTTTCACGTGGCTGATGATCGCAGGGTTCTGTCTGCTCATCTATGGTGGCCCACTGGCTCTTATGATCACGGTATGTTACTTGTTTTAAATTGAAATCTATTTGTAATGTGTTTGGAGAATATTACATTCTATTGTAATTTTTTACTGTACTCTGTAGTTGATGTTTATATCTGATTATATACATTATACTAAAAGTATGCGTCTGTGTAATGATCCTAATATTAATCGATTAAGAAACAAATAAAAAATCAGTGCCGTAAAACAACTTAATTAAATCTTACACATACCACACTACTACACTACGTTTTACTATTTATCATGTCATAACAACACGCGACATAAAACGACAATTATATAATAATTAGATAGTCATAAAGTAAGTAGGCAGTCGTAATATATGAAATTGTATAACTATCTTACCAGTAAATACAAAGGAATACAGTTCATTTTTCTATAGCATTTTCAAATGAGAAAACCGTAGAAAATGGTAATTTGCTCACATTTGAATTTGATAATAAATTGTGTATTCTAACTTCGCGTAGGTAGAGTTGAAGTAAAGTTTTGGCAATTGTAGAAAAAAAATGTTATTTACTTATTAATTGCTAACTAAACCTAGTTAGTAAAAAAAAAAATTAACTTAGAATTAAAAAAAAAAGAAATGATGTTGGTACCTACTTACTTAGTATCATTCACAGTCTGTAATAAATAGTAGGTATTAGGTATGTTCCTCATTATTTAAATAAAAAACATTAGTTTTATTATTAAACATTTTTTTTATTAAAAAGTATTGTCAATAAAATAATTTCTAGATTTATATTTCAAAATCTAATACATATAGACTAAAAACTCAGTAAAAAATTGAGGAAATTTACCGTCATTTTTAATTTTAAAGATTGCTACATTTTTTTGTAAAAATGGTAACATAATGAGTAAGCAACTGGGATTTTACTAAAGAAAATCAAACTGCTTGCCGAAAATCATAATATCTAAATCAGCAATGTAATCGAACGACTTTTTATTACTACGTAATTATAACAAGTTCTATCGTATCATATTGTGCAGTAATAAAACCCGCTGTACTGTAACAACCACATACCTACCACGCAACGCTTGTAAGTGGCAATATCTGGATGTATTTGTAATATTCACAATCGTGGTCAATTAAATGTGGTCAGTTTTTTTATTGTTATTATCTTACAAACTAAAATAATAACTTATAAATTGTTATACGTACCAAACATAAAGTAATGAGCTCTGTACATTGTTACAGTTTGAGTCAGTTGTACGTGATATACTTGATACAATTTATAGATACATATATATTACACCGACAAAAATTTTTAGCCTATATTGTTATATAGCATATGTTATAAACATAAGTAGGTGTACTTACATCTACTTATATTAGTTCACCTCATAATCTCCGGGCGTGAAATTGCTCAAGTGGCGTATAAATTTAAACATCATCTAATTCTAAAAGATTTCTGATTGTTTGTTGCATAATTATGTTTTTGTTCTGTTGTTTTTTTTTCTTTTTACGAATTGTACCAATTAAGAATTTTTGGTTTTATAAAGTAGTTGAATGAAAAGAACAAAGAACGTCTTAAAAGTCTCGATACTATAATATATTATGTATTTCGAGAAAACTCAACTACAGCTAATTATTTAAATTATTTGAAATTTGAAAATTTGAATTGATTTGAACCTATGCTTCTAACATACTGATTTTGTATGGCCTTGGTTTGTAGGTAATTATTTAGCGTTTGTATAACATTATTTGTAGTTATATTGTACATTCCCTTAAATAATGGTGGACCTGCGTAATTTAACGGCCTCTCAAAAACCGGCAATTCTTTCTTTTCATTTCACTGAGGAACTGAGATTACCGTCCGCCCAAACTCCCACCTAATTCTGGAGGAGCATTCTAAGGCTGTAACACACTTGTATAATTTGAATGGGATCAAGCAGGTCGGGCAGGTTTTATGAGCGGCGGTAGTCACCGGTGACCTTTCTGTTCAATTACCTCCCCTATACTAAAAAAAAGGTTTTTTTAAATATATATTCTGTCCACCTCTGATTTCTTCCACATTCAATTTAACACTTTAGTAAAACAGATAATTTAAATACATTGTCTTCGAATGTCAAATCGACGTTATGTATATTAATTCAATTTAGTTAAATATTTATAAAAACATTTGATTTCTTAAAAGTTTAATACATTGAAAAGAAAAAATAGTGTCAATAAAGCAGTCACGTCACAAAAAAAAATGCATGTGATTATAAAAACAGACGTTAAAGCATTAATAATATGTTATAATCCTTACTCTCCTTTTGTGTTTAAACGCATTGACGTATGTTTTTAGTAACAGAAGTAAAGAAAATCAATTAAAATGTAAAGTACTTTTCAAATTAAACTGAACTTTTAAGTATCGAGGCGTAAGGTCAATTTTTATTAATTCAATTATTTACATGTACTTCAAAGGTCTAACGTAAATTTTTAATTTAGGTACTCTGCGTACAAGTGAAATGCTTCGAAGAGATCATCAACATTGGCTACGCGGTGTACCGCGTCCATGGCCTGCCGTGGTTCCGTTCCCTGTCGTGGTACTTTCTACTGACTTCCAACTACTTCTTCTACGGGGAGAACCTGATTGACTCCTTCGGTGTCGTCATTAATAGGACGGTGAGTATTTTATATGATAATTATAAAAACTTCACACATCTCACACACATGATAGTCTGGTCCCCAACTAGTTAGAGCCTGTAAATATTTCTAATAAATAAATAAATAATAAAAAAAATATGATAGATATGTTACACCCAGACATAGAACATATATGATCGTGCTCATCACATAATCATTTGTCCTGGGTGGGAATCGAACCCACGACCTCCGGCTTATCAGTCAGGGTCACTAACCACTAGACCAACAGACCCGTCAAGATATCAGTACAAAATATTGTAGGTCGGCTCGGAAGCTAGACAATGTACAATCTAGTACATGATATATAAGGTCATATTCTTTTACTTTCATGACATCACTGCGACCCGCCCACGGGTGCAAGCACGGTTGCAATGCATGACATCACATTTCAAATCTTTGGAATACTCGGATTTAATTCGAAACCCTATTTTATAACAACCCCATTTAATCACTTATACTCACTTTTTGAGGGTAGTTTTGCAAAATTAGTAAAAATTCCTTTTAATTAAGAGTTTACCGTGAGTTTGAAAACAGTACCACCAAAAATAACAAAGTTTCGTATAAATTACCAACCCCCATTTAGCATCCTTAGGGGTGGACTTTTTAAAAATCCTTTCTTAGTGCACACTGAGAAATATTTGTACAAAATTTCATGGTATAGAAACCCACCGGTTTCCGCTGTGCGCTGTTCGATCAGTCAGTGCATCAGTCTTTTTTTTTATTACAAAAATAAAAAAGTGCATCAGTCTTTTGGGACTAATCCCACCCACACGCCCACCACTGTAACTCCTGTACACCAGGATCCACAGCAGTGACCCACGAACACACCGAGTTATGACACTCGGGAAGTCCCAGGAAGAAATTAAACTGTCTTGGAACCCGCAACGAAATTAATCAGAAGAAAATTGGAGGAGTTGGAAATACAGTAAATCCACTTCCCTCCTTAGCAAAGCGGGAGACAAAATGAAGTAAAATAGGCATACACCCTTTTAAACAGGGAAGCACCACGGCCACAAAATATTACGGGTCCTACATGAGCTATATTTGATTTCTATAATATGTATGGCAGAATCGCCTAAACGCACGGAAATTCACCCTAGTTGACACAAGATCCCCATAGTATACCGCCCCAGATGTCACCTGCAAGCTATTCAGCATTATATTACGTTCATTATATCAAAGACTACATTCCCAGAGGATATGATGAGCAGACTGTTCATAATGAGAGTTAGGTGTTGAGCATTGACACAATGGTGACTCGACTAATTTAAACGAATACAACTTGCTCTTAAAGTTACCATGACCCGTAAGAAATTGAGCGACACAGTGATCCACCTCAAGCCATCTCCTCGACAACCGTTCGCGAACAGATGGAAAAAATTGGTAAAGATGGCGCCCCTTGGATGATTCGTCCCAGCGTTGCTGCCATTCGTCTATGAGGTCATTATAGACATCGGACTGCTGTTGAAGCAATCTTGTAATTTTACCGCGATCCCGCGCGCCCAAGAAATCGCATTCCATGTTTTGTCTTGAATAGTACATGGCTGCACGTCTCTGCACCTCGAGATCGACCGGAAGGACACCTGCCAACACCGGCAAAGCCTCAGTGCTAACCGTCCTATATGCCTTGCACAAAAATATCAGTGCAAGTCGTTGGCCTTGTAACAGTTTGCGACGGACAGCGCCTACGGTCGCCCTATCGGCCCATACAGGTGCACCATAGCACATAGAACCTAAATAAGTAGCTCCGTATATGATCTTTAATGTATTAAATGATAGACCCCATGTCGCAGTTGATATCCTTGTCAATGTGTGTGTGCATCAGTCTGTCAGTTTCTTTTTTTATAGATATATAGATTGTCTAATGTTGATACCCGTGTCTAAACGTCTTAAGTCAGTTCTTGTGAAGATATCCGGCAAAACCCAGCGGTACTGGCTTTTACAAACTGTCTTCCCGATCGATTTAACGTTTTTTCATACACATTTGGGAAAGTTTATTTGATGATTAGTTTTAATATTATTGACATAGTGTTTGAGTGTATGATAAATCGTTTTTTTTTTGTTTTTACAACGATAATGATGATAATAGCTTATTCATATAATTAATCGATTGCACGACTTGCGACCATGCCTCGTCGATTCGTTGTTTACGTGTAACAATGTTTTGGTTTGTTTATTTTACCTAAACTATGAAAATAATAATATGTTCTGTCTGTAAGTAAACATAATAATGGTAAACGAAAAGAGGCAATTGTGGAAGGCCATTGAAAACAGAAAAGGTAGAATGGTTGGCCACTTGCTAAGACACGACAACTTCTTTAGAATAATACTGAAAGGAAAAATAGAAGGCAAGAGAAAACGAGAACGGCCTAGATCAACATACATACAGACTGTACGGATGGCGTAGTGGTTTAAGCGGTCGCCATGCCGCTTCCTATTACGCCGAGTGTTGTTGGTTCAAACCCCACATGGGACGACACTTTGTGTGATTCACAAATTGTTGTTCTGAGTCTGGGTGTTCTTTGTGTCCGTTTCATGTATGTTTGTAAAGTCCCCCGCGACACAGGCTTTATTCCTAATGTGGGAGCTCTCTTTTTATAAAAAAAGAGTCGTGGCCTATGAAGTGGCCAAACAGATCGCAGGAAATGGAGAGGAGCGGTGATTGCTCCACCGACAAAGGCTTGGCTCTTAAATTCAAAGAGAGATACTACCTATATATACATAATATCGTTGTCGGCCGGTGCGTTCCAGGTCCAGTAAGACTATGATGATGTTCCTCAATTACGTTACCGATGCATGGCGTCTTTTAGCACAAGTGCGTCAATAAAAGTCACGACAATAATATAATGTGTTCTACATATTTGTTTGTCGTGAGATAGTAATGTTTTTATTGTTGAAGATTATTATTATCTGTCTATCCTTATCTAATCGGCAAACAATTTCTTTATCACTTTTGCGATATTCAAAACGAAATTGATCCATTACTGAAAAAACTCTCCACACAGCGCAGGTTGCCTCATGTTGCCTGTTTTCATCGAAATAATGCTTTTCCAAGGATTACGTACTAAATTTGATAAAAAGATACTTTTTATACGTTGGCAACTACGAGTATTACTCTTAAACTAACAGAGCTAACTTGACAGTGATACTTGTTCTTTTGAGTTTTATAATAATAATACCCTTACACATCTCACCCACGGCTGTCTGATCTTAAACTAAGCAGAACCTGTACTATGATAACCAGACCGCTGATAAACATACTTATATATTTCTAAATACATAGATACATATTATAGATAAATTACACCCAGACACAGAACAAATGATCGTGCTCATCACACAAAATATTTGTCCTGGGTGGGAATCGAACCGACGACCTCTGGCTGAGCAGTCAGGGTCACTAACCACTAGACCAACAGGCCCGTCACTTGTTCCTCGGAGTTTTATAATCCATGCGAATATGATTTCTAGTACTAACAGTCTCCAAACTATGCCACGGAGGGACGGGCTAAGTTAAAAGGGTTTTTTATTAGTAATACGGCATTCTAAAAAGTTACCTGTCACACCCTTGTTAGCATGAAACTATTGGTTCAACTTTTCTGGTTAAAAGTTTATTGAACGTATTGATAACATTGGAAGGACTTGAGATAGCGGCGCCGATAAATTCGCATGGCTTATATTTCTTTTATTATGATAGACATATGATAGACTTGTATAACAAGACGACCGGATGGCGTAGTGGTTTTGTAACGAACTGCCATTCATAAGGTCGCGGGCTCGGTTCCTGCTCATGTCAAACATTTGTGTGCATGAACATTTAATGTTTTATTTGGTCTGTGTGTTTCTATGCACAATCTGTATGTATTTACAAAAAAAAAAAAGTATTTATATCAGTTGTCTAGTACCCATATTACAAGCTCTGCTTAGTTTGGGACTAGATGGCGTTGTGTGAATGTAGTAGAATATTATTATTATAACTTCAAATCATCATAATCATCATTTACTCGTCCTTTTCTCATTTAATTGCGGTCGGCGGAAGCAAAAGATTTTGGCTGGATTCTTATTCCATAAACTTTAGTTTACCTATACCTACTCTACATCTTTAGTTTTTACAAAAAAAAGGATTATCATTGTAGATTGCTAACTCAAATAGAGATAACCTGATGAAATGATGTAAATAGTTCGTAATAATATTTGTATACTAACCACTACACTAATAAAAGAGTAGGAGTAGCTTTCTCATAACAATACGATTACCAAAGTTATGAGCAAACGCTCATAGCCAATAGAATTGCGTGCGAATTCGCACATTGTTGACACTGTCGTCGGGAACGTAATTGAGTGAAAAACTAATAACTAACACACCATAAACATAACATGTATAATTCTGTATTGAAAAACACGTACACACGTCAATTACCTAGTATGGATGACTGAAGTTGTGCAATTTAATTTAAAAATAAATTAATTAAAAATACGGCCCCATAATGTCTTTTTACCAAAAATGTAGTTACATCAGTGATGTCTACAATCGATAGTCGCTATGATCTGTCTGCCTTTTATTACTATTTGATAACGATTATCAGTTGAAAGAATGATTCATTCTACTTGATAAGATATGCCGCCCTAATTATGCTGGGCTCACCTTTAATTTCATACTCATGAATAACTTACTTTCATGGCAAACTTGTTTTTAGATCATTAATCATTTCGATCATAAATATCTACGTATAATATGTACTGATAGCTTCAAATGGTGGATCTTGATAGAAGGTACTATATACTTTATGTTCATTTGTTTTATAATAATATGTGAACTTAATAGAAGCATTAATAATATAAGCTTGGTAATAGACTTTTCCCTGTAACGTAGGAAAGGTTTCTTAGGCAAAGGATTAAAATTGTAGTAATGTGGGCGCCTAATACTCCTCTGTCTACGCATTGAGGGATTAAAGACGTGATAGTGTATATCTCTATGCGTATATGTAAATGTGTATCTCATAATTAATCAGATCATACAATTAATATCACTGTGAATATATACTGCTGTAATAATTGATGCAAAAACTTCAATATTTTCATTCAAAAACACATAAAAAAAAATTGTAAGTGATGTATTTTTGTCTTCTTATCAAGCGACCTATTCATCTACCACCTATTCATCGTAAGTGGGTGTCGTAAGAGCCGACTAAGGAAGCAAACTACGCAGGATAATAGGAAAACTCGACACAAAACCTATACCAACCCGTCAGGCCAGCGAGGTATAGTATGCCAAAACCTACTTTCTAAGGAGAGACCTATATCCAGCAGTGGACTATTGATGATTATAGGAAGTGAGTGTGATTGCTAATGCATCGGACTTGTGTACAAGTGACATAAACCCGTTCAGGTGAGCTAAATTACAAGAATATCGGAATATCAGTAATTTGTGACCTACATTACCAATATTCTCAGGTAAAAGTATATTGCTCATATTTTTTCGAATACCTACACGAACATAAAATTGAGCCATCAAATCTATTTATAGGCTGTTAATACTTACAAGGTATATTCCCAATGGATACATAGAATAAACGATTCATGTATCAACCTAATAGCGTAATCCTATTAAGCAACCAATCAACTAATTGGTTGACCTTCTTTTTATCGTACTTTATGCATAGCTGATCGTAAATATGTAACAGTCAGGCTGTTGTAATAAATAGATATGTTCTAGCGTTCTGTATTGTATTTGAGTAATTTATTAACTCGCTGCAATTGGCCAGCGATTGGTGACGGATTCAGAATACAAAGCGTCACCACTTCTTTTTTTTTTTCCGTGCGGAAATCCCCTCGGATGCCACCATGCCATGGTGCCATGACGGTGGCATGTCGGACTCGAACCGACTAAAACCGCACGCCGTCTCGGGTACTAATAGCCGGGGAACCAGGTATACCCTAGAAAGGAAGTCCCTGGTGCCCCGACATACCTCGGGCCATCTATAGACGAGTAGCCCCCCCCCGTGTGGGAATCCCATGTTCCCTCTGCTCCCTGGAAGCGAGCGCGCTTCACAACGCGCTGGCCGCCACTTCGGCCTGCTTCTGCTACGGTGACAGTTGGCCTGACCTGTCACCCCCAGGCCTGCGCTTATGGAGGACGGAGATCGTTCTGCGACCTCCGCCGCCTCAGTCGCCTGCGGTTCCTAGCCCGTTCCCGGGCCTGGCGGGCCGGGAGAGTCCTAAACCTCTCCGGGTCCCGCTCCGCCTTCTCCTTCGCGAGCATAACTTGCTCGCAGAAGGAGACGGCAGAGTTCCACGCACTCTCGCTCCGCACGATAGCCGCAATCAGGCTATCGAGCGAGAGAACTCCCACTCCGATGGCCGCCATGAGGTCTCGCCTCTGCTCAACCCACGCCGGGCACTCTGCCAGCGTGTGAAGAGCCGTGTCCACGGTCTGGCCATCGCAGTGGTGGCACTCAGGCGTTGGCTCCTTGCGGATCAGACACAGGTGATCCCCGAAACATCCTTTCCCAGTGATCACCTGCGTCAGTCGGTATGAGAGGGTCCCGTGACGCCTCTCGAGCCAATCCTCCATAACGGGTCTTACCGCCGCGATGACGGCGTGCCCGGCGCTCGGTTGCCCGAGTCGTTCCTTCCACTCTCCTATGATGACCTGGCGGAGTTGGGATTTCCGGTCATCGATTTCTCGAGTCTCGGGACACCGACCCAACTCCCTTACCCCCTTGTGATCCTGATGGCCAGCACTCGCTGCGGTCGTCGCAGTATCGCGACGTTGCTGGCCTTCAGGGCCCAAGCCCATACTGGGCACCCGTAAAGGGCCATGGACCGCACAACCCCCGAGTAGAGTCTCCTGCAGGAGTCATCGGGTCCCTTCATGTTGGGCAGCAGCCTCGCCAACGCACGCGCTGCCCCAACCAACTTGGGGACCAGACCTCGGAAATGATATCCCATCGGCCATCGAGTACGAGCCCCAGATACCTGATCGAGGGCTCGATGCCGATGCGAGTGCCGTGAGGCTAGATCCCTCAGGCGGCTTCCTCCGAAGCCCGTGGAAGAACAGGGCCTCGGACAGCGTCACCACTCCTATTCATCCCGTGGGTGTCGTAGCCGGCTAAGGGAGCAAACTCTCCAGGACAACAGCACTTTAAAGAGAATGAAAACTTGAAACAAACCCTATACCAACACGTCTGGCTAGCGTGGTCTAGCTAGGCCAAAACCTCCTTTCTAAGGCCCTTGTCCAGCAGTGGACCATTAAAGGCTGTTGATGATGATGACATTTGGCTATTTCATGTGCCTATCCCGACTGACATACGAGTATTCAATCCCAGCCTCTTCGACCTGCCATGACCCCCGTCCCCCATCCTCTCCCCTAAACTAGCAGAATCCGTTATGTCTACTTCTGGGTGAAAACGTTACATTTCCACGGAGAGTTGGCGTCAGGGCGGTGGTTGGTCACAAAAGAAATCAGCCATATCCCCTGTTACTGATTTCAACGACACCAGATAAAAGTGGGTAGACGGTAAGGAAACTTGTGGCGTCGGTAATGTTAACTCATTACAATCACAGTGTGAAACTTGAGCATAAAGGGATACAAATGGTAATGGCCTCTGAAGATTCATTATACGTTTTAATTAATAAAAACGTGTCCTCTGTTCTAACATCATGGGCACAGTAGCTATACAAGTCTTAAACGCACTGTCACAGTATAAATGGTATTTACATAATTATTAAATAACTCATTTGAATTCAGTGAGTGAAGTGATACAAATTCACAAAACAAATCTGTATATAAATTCTTTTCTGTGCTATTTAACAGATGTTCTGTGTCTTATGAAGCATATGCCACAAATCATATGTACGGAAGCATAACGCGTACTCGTTAAATCTAACCAAACACAAAGTGTGTTTGTGAATCAAATTAAAAAGTAAAAGTGAGTTCTACTAAGGAGGTACTTCTTCCTATCATAAGACCGTCGCTCTTAAGCCTAAGCAGGTAGACTCATCACAGCCATATAAACTCAAATCGAGTGTTTTCAAATGTGGAGAGACCAGTGAAAGAGAGAGAATAGTGTTTTAGTAGTCTACTGCTGGTTATACCCGCAGTAGACTACTAAAGGCTGTTGATGATGATGATACCATAAAAAAATGTGAAAACTACCCTATTAAATACGTTAATAAGCAATTTATATTCCTATAAACTCTTTAAACTAAGTTATTTTCTTTGTCCCCAGGACTATCTCAAGTTCCTGGTAACATACCACCGCTTCATCTCCTTCAGCTTGTACTGCATGGGCTTCGTATGGTTCGTGTTGTCTCTGGTAAAGAGGTACTATATGAGGCAGTTCAGTCTTTTTGCTTGGACTCATATCGCGCTGCTCATCGTGGTCACACAAAGCTATCTGATCATCAAGAATATATTCGAAGGTAAGTTGTAAATGTTAAAAAAATGTGGATGAGGTTCTTGAATTTGATAAAAGGACCAAAACGTGTAAGTGTGTGTCTGACGTGACATTACGTGTATATTTTCCATAAACAACACATACAGATCGGCTAGGTCGATTTGTATGTGTTGTTTTTTGTTAGAAATCTGATGGCGTGGTTGATATTACCATTGGTTGCAATCAGTAAAATATATGTTTCTACATTAGTAGGACATACATTTCATTCGAGTGTTTACGTAGTTGTTATTATTTTGAAAAAAATAAGCATTGAATCCCCCCATAATCTTTTTTTTAATATAAAAAACAACTCCCGTATTAGAATTATATTCAAAATTCGCGGGGGACTTAACAAACATACATGAAATGGCCACAAAGAACACTCAGACTCAGTACAACAATTTGTGGATCACACAAAATGTTGTTCCATGTGGGGATCGAACCCACAACACTCAGCGGCGAGGTGACCTCTTAAACTACTACGCCATCCGTGCAGTGAAATCTATACTCTAAAAACATAAGAAAATTGAAGTGTCTGTTTGTAATGCCAAAATCATATGTTTAATTCATGCTCGCACAAAAAAAAATGTCTGTTTCTGTTTGTTCCGGGTAATCTTCTACTGACTGGACTGGACTGATTTTGAAAATATTTTACTACTATTAGGTAGTTGTCTATATACCTATAGGACTAACTTAAGCTATTTTTCCTCTCAGAAAAACCTTTAAAATTTTGCTCGGTCCGGGAATCGAACCCACTAAGGCAGCGCTTTTCAAATTCCACGCGAAGTCGCCGGTACCAGCTAGTAAATATATTTAAAAATCACGGGAAGTGTAGGTTTGGGCTTCGGTAATCTGTAAAGCCGTGGTATCATTTCGGTCGAACCGGTCCATTTGTGCCATGGCTCTCCTAAAATCCACTTGAATACGACAGTTAAAACCAGATAGATCAACATTTACTCTTAAGATTTGTTTGCATAATCACAATTGCATGTAAAATAATTTAAAAACGTTTTTTTAAATATAAATATCATATATATATATCATCTTATAGCTACTAGCTCTTTCAGTCTAAAACTCCGTATTCCCTCTTCAAAAGACTGTTGCCGACATCCTAAAAATAAACTTACTGATCGATCGCAAATTTAACGGTATAAATAGGGTTCTCCAGTGTCGTATACAGTCTGTTTCATGTTGGGTTTTCACTTATGGTACCCCATGGTTGTTTTTAAACTTTCGCGTCTTCACTATTATTAGATACTTGATTCGGGACTCAAAAGGCAGTAATAATTACGTGGTACAAATACGTTAAACCTTCAGATAACCAAACAATGCGTGTGTTGTAAACAACACGACTGAACCACACCACTGGGGCGTCGAATTCAATTTTTTTTGGTAAAGACCCCACCGTAATGATGTTCTAAAACAAAACTTATGCATTTATCGATATAATTTTTTTTTGATTCGTAAGATCACAGCCATGACCTTTTCCTGAAGTTTCCAGAAGTTGTTTTAAAGATAGCGGATGAAGTGAAACAAAGATATGGTAAAAAAAAATTGGTGTAATGGACACAATTAATGTATTTTACGAATCTCTTGTGATCTCGACCAATTTCAACATTATTTATACGACTATAATGAATTGTTTAATTTCTTAAATTGTTTGTTTTGTTTAAAACGACACCCCGGTGTATTAACACGAAAAAATGAATTTTATCTAAAAAGGTCTCCGTTCATCTATAAGTGACCCATTACTACTACAAGATGCATGTTAGTAAGAATTTGGTACGAATGATCTTAATAAACCAATGAAGAATAATCAATGCAATGCGCTCACTGACACTAAAACCCATCTACATTAATCTTTTCACCATCTATCCAAAGGTTGCCTGCCTAGAAGACACCGAGCCCTTTCTTAAATAGAATATTAAAATGTTTTGTAACTCCAACTCCGCTCCAACTGATCACAGAATTAGACACAATTCAATTTAATTCTTTATTCATAAAATATAAGCATCACAGTGTACACCAAATCGCTTATATCTATGCTAATTTTAACAAAAATAAACTACATACTATTACAATTATAAGACTCAGACCATCAAAAAGAAACAACATAAAATTTTGTAAACAAAAACAACCTTACATCAACTTAGGAACTATAAAATTACTCTTTAAAATTTAGATATGTATAAATATGTTTTAAAATTATGCTTTGGGAGTAAAAAATATATCTGCATCTGGACTATACTGAAGAAACTCATTGATAAGCCTAATTGCTATAGCAGTGGGGCTATTGTCAGCCTGGGGAGAGCGCCACGTAGGCGGACAGCACAGGAGTCTATGTTGTCGTCTTCCAAGGGCACGCATATATTGGTCGGGAACATAAAAATGTATTGATTCCCGTACAACAGGGCTATCTACCTTATTCGCCAGTATCAAACAATAATGCATTATATGTGTAGCACATTACAAGCACAATACGTGTATATTACGAACTACATGTAGGATCTATGTAAAAGAAATATTTAAAAAGTACTTTGTGTGTACAAAAAAATTCACTACAGGTATCAACACGTCTTTATCTAAAGTATCGAGTAAGTAGATACACAAGATTACCTTCGACCTAAATTTAAACTACGGTCGGTGAAGACCATTGCACTAATATTATATTATAACTCAATGGTGAAGTGAAGACCTGCCTGTTACTTGAACATTGACAATAATAGGTAATGTAGCTTCACAGTAGCTATTGTCTCCAACCCATGATAACACATCCATTGTTTTGAGGACCATATTATGTGTGAATGTAATGTTTATTTAATTATACAAATCAAGGTCAATTTTGGAATAAGGAATGCTCATCAATGCTGTCAAATTTACGAGTGTAGTCATGATAACAAAATTGCAATTAGGAATTAACTCGAATTTAAAATAATTCGTGGAGAGAAATTGGAATTAGGAAGTGATAGATGACAAAATCGATGTGATCATCAAATTTACTTAAAAAAGATTAGTGCGTGTTTACTCATTTTATCAGCGTGGAATAGATGTTAGAAAACATTTATATGCGGGCTGCTTATCTTGAATTGTTTTTTTGCATTCAAACGTTTAACCACTAGGTACATCTAATTAATCATACTGCTATCAAGACTTCAAACATACATACTAAATCTTGTATTAAATGATAAAATGTTGGACGTGATAAAGCAAGTGGTTATCAGTCATTGATCCTGTACTACGATTATAAATATTTATTTATTTAGAATGGTTACTTCAATGATTTATTCATTAATACTTTCCGCATAAAGGTGGCATTGGCGTGAGTTCACAGTTCTGTCGCTTAAAGGAGTATACAACCATTACATAAAAGGTTCAATTATATCAAAGTGTAACCTCCTTCGTAAGGAGAGGCCTATGTCCAGCAGTGGACTAGTAAAGGCTGTTGATGATGATGATATCAAAGTGTGGCGTTTCATAACATTATATTAATTAATTACTATTGAGAAACTCTTTCATTGTCAGGCTTCTTTTAAGATGAATCTATATTTTTAGAAGTATATTTAAAGAGGAAATATTACTGAGAACTAAATAATAAAGGGTGAGAAAATTACATTAAACAATAAGCTAATAACGATCTAACGTCAATCGTTGCTACGAAGTGTTGAATTCAATATCTATGAATCTCTACAGTTATATTACCATATGAGATATTTACTATGTTCTATACCATATATTTACTGTTTTTATTTTCGGGAATTAGTTTCCGATATTTCGGCACTGTTGCAAGCGCCATGATGACGGATGAACGATGTATATTTATTTTATATAACATTTTAATTTAACACTACATGCTTTGGCGTTCCAATTATAAAATTAATCATATCATCATAATTCATTTTATCTATAATTGTTTTCTATTGAAAAGTTTTAAAATTGTTCGCAAAAAGATTAGAAATGCCTAGTAGTAATATAAATACGTATTTTTTGAAATCTACCAACACAATGCGTTTGACCTATATGAAGAGCAACTACAATAAACACCGTCTCCTTACAAGCTAGAACAAGATGGCCGATAAAATTGTATCCACGTCAGTGTCAAGCCAACGCTGTCATATAGAGGGAAGCCTTTCAAACGCCACCATAACTAGGCCAAATAGATATAAGGGTGTGGTTTTATTGACGTGGAAGAGCGGATATTATGCGGGTACCTGGAGAGTCGTTCAGTTGTAAAAGGTATATTATGCTCTTCTGGTAATATGGAAGGGTTTTTGAAGTATATAATTTGTACTTAAAAGCAATGATAGGTTATGTGTTATTAGTCTGGTTTATATGTATACCTTTATTGATACTCTAAGACAGGGACTCCCAAGTGGTCGATATCGACCCCTTGAGGTCGAAATCGGTTTCCTAGGGGTCGACATAAAAGAAAACTGTTTTTAGGGGTTGACGATGTCTAGAAATCGACCCCTATTAATTAACACGAGTTCTTATTTGAAACTTTTAAGATACTGTATTAGTTGTGTTACGTGTAGTGTGTAGGTACTAACTTGTTATAAGAATGACTAATATTTAGGTAGAAAGTATCATTGTTGTACTTTTAAAAAACTCAAGTCGAAAATTCTGCAGTAATTTTTCTATGGGGGTCTGAGATATCAGTTCATTTTAGAAAAGGGATCTCTTGCCCTTAATAGTTTTGGAATTCCTGCTCTAAGACATTCATCAGTCGGTCATGAGTCGTAAAAATATTCTCTAATTGCCAAAGTGGAAGAGTCATACTTCGAAAAATTTAGGCCATTTCAGCCGGAGTGCTTCGACCGCCTCATAGAAAACCGGTGTTAAACAATTCTTTTGTTGTTTTTCACTAAGTGAGTTAGGTTAACCAAGGACCACACCTTCCTCTGACTCTGGGGAAGGACACTCAAAAAGGACGAGTTGGTATAGGGCTTGTTTCAAGTTTTCCTTCTCTTTGCGTTGCTGTTGTCCTGC